ACTCATATCATTGTGGGAAAATTCTACTAACCGTCCTTCATCACCTTAAACGAAATAGGGTGAATACATCCCATATTACTGATTTACTGGTAGTCTCAAAACTATACTTAATGCAAAAAACATCTTATATAGGTTTTTTTTGCCATAACTTTTCTGTCTAACAAAATTCACCAAATGAAAACAGAAAATTTTACTTTGAGGAGGACACGGCAAAAGGGACTATTGTAGTCAAACTAACTACACATATAGAACACTTGCATCGACTTGAGATATGTGCTCTGGAGCAAGAAAATCTGCCGATCTCTCACACTCAACAAATGACACGAAATCAGAGGTAGAACTAGCCTAAGGGAGAATACTGCTAGTAGAATGTCAGGATTTAACTTCCTTTGCTATGTTGATTCAGCAATATCATCTTGTCTTTATTAGCCTATCTGTTGAGGGCTTGTGGACCGACCTGACTCAAAGACATGCACACATGTTCAAGTCTGTCTTATTAGTTGGCCATCTCGGGCTCGCCTTTCTTGCATATGTATGCATGGTTTGTCACGTTTTTTTATATCTGTTGCGTGTATATAGACGATTTGTATACGCAGAACCATATCACAACTTTCTTAACTGGCACAGTTCTTTTGTCTCTGAGACAGAGGGCGAAAGCACAAAGGCACACTTATTGCTTACACTGGATGGGCTTCATGTGAAGAATTTCACCTAATTTGATAATAATGTAGGAGGATGGTGGTGAATGTAAACTTGTTAATTTTTATTGTTCTCATTAAGTATGCAATACGTAATATGACCGGAGGTAGCGGATCCTTGAAGCCCTAAAAATTACGCAAGACTGGATCGCCGACTCCTTTCTGGAAATCTATGACTTGAATTATATATTTTAGGCCTAAAACTCTATTCACACTATGCTTTTTTATTTATGGTGTTTAATAAACTGTACAGAAGTTGTTTGACCTTGTTTTCGCAACTCGGTCATATTGGTGGGAAGACTTAGACAAACGCACCTTGTCCGGAGTCCATTGTATGCAGAATCATTTCCAAAGTCGGACAGTGGACGTGTTACATTCCCAGACGTCTCGCCGGCATCATAGTTGGTATCTTCAGTAAGTTTTGCCATTCGTAGCACCGTATTACAATTCGTCAAAAGAGACTGCAACCACACATAAGGCCATACAATCTTGGTCTTCATACCTTTGTTTAGTAAACTGTGTCGATTAAACTAGTGAGTTTAGTAATTAGGTGTAAAATGAAAATTAGCAATTCACTTGATGGACCTAGCAGCCTGGTTAGGAAGTATTGTCAGGATCACTTTGGGGATGTGGATGTTGACAGCATGAGACAAAACATGGATATCCAGCTTCCTCTTGACTTCGCCATAAGTAGGTCAAACTCCAGAAGTTCAAGCGACCTTGAGGCACATTTTATGTCCTTTAACTAATTTGATTCATGGAATATTTTGGGGCGTGATTATAAGTAATAATTTAGGGTTTTATTCACTCTTCTATTAGTCGTTATTCCCTTGTACTTTTGGCTTTGACACAATAGACCTTAGCTTAAAATAGTATTATCTTCAGATTTGGTTGCATTCTCTAAGTGTAATGAAGAAATTGCGACTCATGCATAAGGAGGATTCCCTTAAAAGTTTTATATTATTAGATTTTTGAGAAAAGGAACTAATTTATTATGTGCGCAAGGCCACACACATAATAAACAATTTTATTTTTCTGGCGCTTAGTCGCTGGAATTAAATGGACTGATAATCACTGCATATGTAGGCATTCGTTGCTCCTATTTTGATAGTGGATGCTCTTCGCTACTATCAGAAGACCTTGAATGAAAACTTTGGTCATTTTGGATTGCTTAATATGATGTATGGGCTGATATTAAAGTTTTCCTTGTAATTTCGTGCGTAAGAGTGCGAAGGCTCTTTGGAAACTAGACTAAGTGAAGTTTAATGGCATCCTGAGTCCTGATCATGTCATAGTGATAGAGCCCACAATCAGTTCTTATATCACCTCAAGCAACTTGAGGTGATTAAGGTCTTTGTTCATTTATTCTGGCCAGACCAATTTCAAAGTGACCAGAGGCAAAATTCTTGAGGAAATAATTAGTAAGTGAGTAATGTAAGCATTCACATCAACATCAACAAATTAAGTTCATGATAGCTGTAACCCAAACCATAACCAGAATCACTTAAGCAACATAGCAGGCTAACTAAAAAAAACTGCCTGTTTATGTGACAAATTCCGATCATTCCTTGCCATTAGATGTCCATGGCTCGAATCGCCCCCGAGATTCTCTATAGAATCTGTCAAGCTTGAAGCCGTAGGTCTCTTAGACTAGGAAGAATCCTTTGAAGCACACGGAAAAATGGTATATTGTTGTAAACTCGAGCCTCAATCCATCGGATAAGCTTCTGCCATTAAATCCTAATAAAACTTTTTAACTAGCATATATTGTTCAGAAGTTATAAATACAACGATTGTATAAAACTGCTTCTACAACTTCGTGAAACGATTTTAAAAATAACCAACAATGAATTTTAGCTTCCAGGCACATATATAATAGCACTTAAAGGATACAACACAAGAAATGTTCGTTTTTAGCAAGGGCTAAAGATCAATAGCGATGATAAACCTCACTATGGGACGATTAAAGCCGAAGATGAGCAAAATTAGGACCAAGTAACTTTGTGTAGGGTGGCAGAGAGAACTTTTTGGTAAATAGGTGCATTGTTAAATATGGATATGTATTTTCAAATACCGGCTAGATTTAATTCAGGAAATAAAAAAGGATACATGTGAACAGTAATGGCCCCATAGCAACTGTCTGTAGGATGTGAGGCTAATAATACCAAAACCCATGATATAATAGTTAAACTAAAATGTTTAATTTAACTTTCCAACAAATAAGAAGAATTATGAAGGGTTTGATTAAGCATAATGCAAATAGTCACCTTAGGAAGAGTTCACTTAGCATTCGGTTAATGAAACAAGAAAGCAACGCAATTGGAGAAATATCTTTCTTCTGAAATAGCAAATCCTCTTGTTCTTCCTGTTCTTTTGCTTAATTATCGTAAAGTCTGCCTATCCAATGGCCACATATTTCTGGCAGGCTAGCTAACCAAAATCTAGGAAAAGGCGAAATGAATTAGGCTGACCCTTTTGTACCAAAATTGCCACCTGACGATGTAATTAACTGGCAAGACCTCCAAACATCACGTCTTAAAACCGTCTAATTAGGCCGCAGTTTCACAACGAAACTGTGATCACAACTTCAATCAGTAATGGTTTTTTTCTCTCTATCTACAGCAGCGAATAGGAGGGAAATCTGCTAACCCTGAGGGTTAGAGTCCAGGAGAAAAGGATGCACCTCAGCAGGCCGAATTGTCAAGAGAGAAATATCATGTTTTGTGTTCACTATAAAAAGAGGAAGGGAGAGAGAGAGATTGATAGGAGTCCTAGGATGTAAGGTCAGTGAGTTGCATAAATAAGGCGGGATTGAACAAAGCATAAAGGCTATTTTGACGAAATGATGGAATGAGCTTTGTGGGGGAAAAGTGCCGCTCCCAAAGAGTGTATCCGGAATGCTGATTAGCACCACACTTCAGACACCACATGCCACGACAACCAGAAAGGACGAATGGTCGTGGCAACCAGAAAGTTGGGGCAACCACACCGCCGGGGATCGTCCGGCCTGGCTGATTCAGCTCGACTGGTTCAGTTTTGCCGTCTGCCTTAGTCTCGGGCTGGCAGGAAACTGTCTCCTCCTGGTCCAGTTGGTCCGAGTGCACCTGAACGGACCAAGAAAAACGGCCAATGCCGGGCGGGCGAGCAACTTGGCCTCGGGAGAGAGAATCCGTCGCCAGCGTGGCTTGTTGCTTGGGCACCAATGCGTGATTGACTGGCTCGTCTGCTTCATCACAGCCATAAAATTAGCGGGACAGAATGACGGCTTGGGAGTAAACGTCAGTGAACATAGAGTCGCAGCTGTATGCTACCTCTGGTCGAACAACCTACTCTTCTGGCTACTTGTGATCACCAGCGTCTACGGCCACGTGTTCATTGGCCTGCATACCATTTATATCTTCGTTAGCAAATTGTCTCGGCGCAGTCGAGGAAAGTGGAGAGACATCCAAGAGATACTGGTTATAGTAAGCATGAGTAGTAATGCCTAAAGTCCACATGTTTCCAACTACATGTTCCACAACTACTGGTAAATTTTCACTCAAAGTATATCATACTATGTTTCGAAATAGTTCCTCTATTAACCTATTACACCAATAAAAAGTCGAACTTTAGCCTTGTGGATAACTTTGTATTAGGGCCCTATTGGACATAGTGGGACGTCAGCCAATAATGCTGACGGTACTTCGATGCTGCCGACGCATAGATTCAAAATATAATTTTGAGATGGGCTTCTCAACCAAATATTATTATTCAATGTTCAGTGTGAGTGTTTCGAAACTATCACTAATTCTTAAACAAGAGCTAGGTAGCATAAGTTGATGAAAGACTGATAGTTGAATTTTCTGACAATTATGTAAGTGGGTCTAACGATGCCGGCAATTTTCATTTATCCTCTCCTCCCAAAAGTTATTTGTATTCAGGCTGGGAATGATAAGGGAAATTAACTGGCATCGTGGGACCTACTCACATAATTGTAGTAAAATACAGAAATCCGTTCTAAATCCCCCTATGCGACCTAGGATTAATA